CAAATATGTCAAACAGGACAGTTTTATGGTTTAAAATATTTAAATAGAAGACAGAAAAAAAAAGAACGTTGGTTGCTGTTAGCAACGGATAATAATGGGAATTGGTTTTTGGAGAGGACGCCGACGAGGTTTTTTTTTGGACGAAGGAGAGCCCTGAAACTGTGGAATAGGTCGGGAGTGTTTTTTAACTCGTCTAATTAGAATTTAGTTTTTCCACAGTTTCCACAGCAGAGATATCCAGAAATTTGTTCCAGAGAGTAAGAGAAACAATTTCACTTATAAATTATATTGGAGTATAGAAATGTCATTTAAATTGAGAAAATTAAAATTCATGAATTAACATAATTGCGATAGGCCTTAAAAATTGAAATTATTAATGATCATTAAATTAAAAATAGAATAGTACGTACCTTAACTTCCGAAGAGAGGATTGATATTCCAGTTTCACCGATTATTTTTGAGTAGTTAGTTTCCTTTAAAGAAATCAGAACTGTTTTAAAGTGAGGTTGGACAATAATTTTGGGGATCATTTGAAATTTTGATTATATTTGAGTATCAGCGGAATAAAGTGTTCATTTTCTTTTTCTTTATAGTTCATTTAAACACTTTATAAAGTTGCAATATTTATTTAGTTTTTAGGTACTTGTAGAGAGTCTCCACATTTTGTAATACATTTTTATTGTCACGTCACTAAACCACGTTAAGACTTAAACGATTCCTATTTTTGTAAATTTTTAAAGGCAACCGAAGTTGCAGACGAATTTTATTGTTTATATTAAATTTGTTCAATATTAATAAATAACGTGCTTCATTTGGGTTAATTTATCAAAGGTCTAAAGTAAATTTTGGTTTAATTTCTTTTTGAACTCTACCAGGAGACTACAGAGTCGACGTCACACAGTGACAGATTGCTTAGAACATATAATTGAGCTAGCTGAGGTATATATTAAATTAAACAACGAACCACATATTTTAAAAATTACATTTATTATAAATAAAAAATAAAATTAATAAAATACAACTTTATCAATATATATATATATATATAATTCTTTGGAGGGTAACTTTCGGGAAAGCGTCAAAACAAGGATCAGCTATAGATGGTATAAGCCAGCTTGGTGTAGAACTTTATTCTATATGTGAAATTTTCGGTGATATGTTGTCACCTTCATCAGCACCTAAATGGAAAACCTATTATAGTACAGTGGTGGAAATCAACATTTAAAAACCTACATTGAAAATGTTCAGTTGGTCCTAGTTGTAAAAAACACTGTCACAAACATGTTAAAAATATTAAAAAATACATTTAAAATTTTGAATAAAAACATTACAAACAACAGGGTAGTTTTTCAAATACAAACACAACAAAAAATCTAAAAATTTACAACCTACAAAAACCACAAATAGAAAAGAAGAATTAATCTTCTTTTTTGATGACATATTTCTGTCAACATCCTTGTGTCATATGTAACTAGGTTATAATTTTCACTTTTGCACATCACAACCACATGGATACGAAAAGAAAGAGCCCTAGGCAACATAATAAGCAAGGAAATAAAGTCCCCTCTAAAGCACAGGTAGGTAATCTATGCATGTCATGATAAGTTCCCCACAATTTCTAGTTTGTTACTTCTTGTCAAGTCCTGTTGAAGTAGAAAGGAATAAATACAACTTAAGTTTTCAACATCTTTCTTACAGTTCATAGGAGAGCTGCAGTTATGGATGTAGCACATTTCTATGAAGCTCTCCTATGAACTGTAAGAAAGATGTTGAAAACTTAAGTTGTATTTATTCCTTTCTACTTCAACAGGACTTGACAAGAAGTAACAAACTAGAAAATGTGGGGAACTTATCATGACATGCATAGATTACCTACCTGTGCTTTAGAGGGGACTTTATTTCCTTGCTTATTATGTTGCCTAGGGCTCTTTCTTTTCGTATCCATGTGGTTGTGATGTGCAAAAGTGAAAATTATAACCTAGTTACATATGACACAAGGATGTTGACAGAAATATGTCATCAAAAAAGAAGATTAATTCTTCTTTTCTATTTGTGGTTTTTGTAGGTTGTAAATTTTTAGATTTTTTGTTGTGTTTGTATTTGAAAAACTACCCTGTTGTTTGTAATGTTTTTATTCAAAATTTTAAATGTATTTTTTAATATTTTTAACATGTTTGTGACAGTGTTTTTTACAACTAGGACCAACTGAACATTTTCAATGTAGGTTTTTAAATGTTGATTTCCACCACTGTACTATAATAGGTTTTCCATTTAGGTGCTGATGAAGGTGACAACATATCACCGAAAATTTCACATATAGAATAAAGTTCTACACCAAGCTGGCTTATACCATCTATAGCTGATCCTTGTTTTGACGCTTTCCCGAAAGTTACCCTCCAAAGAATTGTATTCTTAGCGTCGTTACACACACTCTATTTATATATATATATATATATATATATATAATATATATATATATATATATATATATATATATATATATCATCATCATCATCATTATCAGCGTATTCTACCAATTATGGTGCAGCCTCCCTTACATAGTCGTTCTTCATGTCTGCTCACGACTGTCTAATATTCGCTTTTCTGTGCCATGTTGTACCGGCTTGTTTCCTTATGTCATAGTCACATCTTAAATTTGGACGTCTTCTTGGTCTCTTGACGTCTCTTGGGTACCACAGAGTAATTCTAGTGGACCATCTATTGTCAGTTCTTCTTGCTAAATGTCCCGCCCACTGCCATTTTAAAGATTTTATTCGGTGGATTACATCAGTGACCTTCGTTTTTTGTCTGATCCATTCTATTCTTTTTCGATCTCTCTTGGTTATATCTAACATGCATCGCTCCATTGACCTTTGAGTGACTTTGAGTTTAGCTATTATATCTTTCTTTAGTGTCCAAGTTTCGTAGCCGTATGTCATGGCTGGTAGTATACATTGATCGAATGCCTTTTTCTTCAGGTGGGATGGCATCCTAGATTTGAATATAACTGAATTTTTACCAAAAGCTGCCCAAGCCAGTTTCATTTTTCTGTTGATTTCTGTTAGTAATGAGCCAGGCTCATTCTATATATATATATATATATATATATATTTATATATATATATATATATTTTATATATATATATATATATATATTTATATATATATATATATATATATATATATATATATATATATATATATATATATATATATATATATATATATGGTGGTAATATTGACTGTTGATTTAAATATCAAGTTGTGATTCTTGAGGATGCAGTCAGTCTATCTGGCCCACAAGACAAAGAAAACTATTTGACTTACTGTCAAGCTTTCGAATTTATTTTAATTCATTTTCAAGACATCTGTTAACAAAGAAATATAAAAATTATCTAGTTATATATATATATATATATATATATATATATATATTATATATATATATATATATATATATATATATATATATATATATGGTGGTAATATTGACTGTTGATTTAAATATCAACTGGTGATTCTTGAGTATGCAGTCAGTCTATTTGGCCCACAACACAAAGAAAACTATTTGACTTACTGTCAAGCTTTCGAATTTATTTTAATTCATTTTCAAGACATCTGTTGACAAAGAAATATAAAAATTATCTAGTTATAATTGTTAATTGTCTTACTTACTAGTCGTGAGATTACAGTTTAAGTTTAACTTTATGAAACGAACCATTACATATGTATTATTTTTTTTATTTTTGTTAAAATAACTATATTGTCATTATATATGTCATTGTCATGGTGTGATTAATGTACATAATATGAATAAATATACAGTTATTTTACGTGGAAAGCAAAACCAGTAACAATAGTTTTTATTTTTATTAATTTGATTGTCGATAAAAAATAAATTAGTCCAGTCAGTTTTTTCTAAGCATATATGAATTTTTTATTGTTGGGATGTCGATAAAAAATGAGATTATGATGGTATGCCAATTCTTTATTGATATGTTAATATGTAACAATAAATGTTACTTAATTTGTCCATATTGATTTTCTATAAATATAGTATAAAGTATAGTATATAGTATAAATAGAGATACTAAAATTACGTTTTTTCCTTCTTCGGCACACGCGATAAAAGAGTACAATCTTCACTAAAAGCAAATAAGTTAGATTGTATTGATCTGTTTGCCATACTTACTAATTCAGGTGGTGACGTTTGTTTCTTCTGACGGCCCCTAGATATGATAGTCTGTCCTTTTTCAAATCTCTGACGAGAGTTAAATCGGTCAACTAATTATCAGCAGTGATATTTTCTGAAATATAGATAGGTTCAACTAATCTCTTGACCACATCTACTGGTTTATTGCTGACACATAATGGACCTTCAGGCTGCAGTCCGGCATAAATTTCCCTGTATAAAATAGTTTAGAATCAACCATGGAAAAAAATTTTAACCCCTATTTGTTACCCCTTTTTTGCAATTTTCTACAAATAGTGAAAAGATTTGTCTTATCAATCTTTAACTAACTGATAAGCTGACAACTTATCAATCTTTAGTCGATCTGGTTAAGTCGTCTTGTCATCGAATCTTATACAGTTGATTCAATTCCACTAACATCTGTTACTGCGGTATAAGCCAGCTTAAGAGAAAAGGCCCAAAAATAACTTTAGTTCTATTTTGTCCGTTTGTTTAGCATCTCTATCTCTGGAATATCTACTTGAAATAAAGTCTATATATTTAACAAAAAGAGAAATCAAACGATTTCTACTTGGCGAAATTGAAATTAAATTTTGATCACTGTGCTTTATAAAACTTGTAAAACAAACAGCTTTATAAATAACTCGACAAGGAAATCTAGATTGCATTCCACATGTCGTTTATCACGATAAAATTCGTAGTGAACTCAATTTCTTATGATATGATAAAAGGATGAGCCCTGTATTTAGACTACTGCAACCTGTATACGTAATTTTATATATTTTTAATGTTTTTATTTTATTTTCAGGTGAATTTGTTGGTTGGTTATACGATGGAGACTACTGTAAACAGAGTATAGAAACAGCTGGACTACAAGTTTATGGAGGATTTTATAACAGCTCTAAAAAACCAACAGTGACTGGCCTTTTGCTGCTTATATCAATATTTTTCTGTAACATGTTTAGTAAAACTATACGATGATATTTTATTTATTAGAAATTATCGATGTGTATTCTTGTAGATAACCAACTGAATAGTATTGTCAAATATCGAAGATTTATAAAGAATTTTATGGTACGATATAAAAATATTTGTTTAAGTTTAAAAGTTCGGTTTTAAAAACGCAAAAATGCTAGTTCTTATCGTGATACATATATCCCGGTATCTAGAAAGGATACCTAAAAAATATAACTAATCAAATATTTAATTTAATTTATGTTTTATCTATAGAAACTGAACTGCAAATTTTTTTATAAAAGATAATTTTGTCTAAATTCCGACTATCACGCTCCTGTTCCTTCTCTAATATCAACCAAAGTGTGGAAAACATTTTACTCGCACGTTTGCCACCATGTATCGGTAAATCGAGCATCAATTTTTTTTGTACAACTTACTTTCCAGGTATCCCTACAGAAGATAGTTAAGATACCTGATATCAGGACTGCTAGGAAATGCCAGAAAGACCAATGGTGCCTCTACCAGAAATCAATTTGTTCGAAATTAATTCGCAGCAAGACAGAAGTTTGGCAAGAGGTTTTACTAAACTATGTTTTTAAGTTGTATACTTAAAATACTTGTCACTCTTAGGTTAAAAAGTCTCCTAGTATTCTCTCAGCAAATTCAGAGCCTCTTTGGGCTCTAAAGAAGTTTCTGATATTTGTATTTTGTAAGATGTAGATTACGTTCTGTTTTTGAGTTCTTAAATTTTAACGTTAAAATTTTACTCTCTAATTCGTAGTGAGTACCATACTTGACAAGTTGACCTATCCCATGTGAAAGACAGATATATAGGTGCTTGTTTACTTTCTCCCTTAATTTGTGGAAATGATCACGAGTAGAATAATTAGAGAACAATTTTTTATAGCTGAACAGTATCTTCACCTATCTTCCTTATCACTAAGTCTCAGAACTGTTTGGTGATTATTTACGCATTTTCTCTCACTTAATTGTCTCTTTATAATACATAGGCTACTGTCGAAAAACAATGATTAGTATTTAACCTAAATGCACGTCGTTTATTGTTTTTGTGATAAATTGCGTTTGTTTAGATTTACAAAAAAATTTAGGTGAGAAACTAAGCAACACACCGAAGTGTTCGTTCTTAATATTAGTTTTATAAAACTTTGTACTCATTACCAAAGTACTGGATCAGAGGAATCAATATAAAAGGCTTGATTTTTTTTAATGAAAAATTTTTTATGACAGAAAAAGTACCCCGAGACACTAAGCAAAGATTCAGGCAAAAAAGTCAATTTTAAAAGCCAATTTTGTATTATAACAAATAAACATTTAAGTAAGATGTTTTTTTAATAGGGTATATAAAAGGTGCACTTTTATAATGATTCTCTTGTTGCAGCCATTCTACTCCTGCAATATGGTATTTAAAAATATTGCTTCATTCCATAAAGGGCTCGGTATTATAAGTTTATTTTGTTCTATTATATTAACCACATTTAACACAATCACATTTAACATCACAAAAATGCTCATTAAATTCTATTTCTTTTAACATAAGATAAAGAGAGTCATATTTTAACACAGTAAAAATTTATTGCTAAAACTTTTCTCTAAAGTTAAATTGTAACGTAAAAATTTTACTGTTGATGGATTTGAAAACGAAATCGTTAACAATTAATTTTAAATTGTACTACAGATTTACTTTATTTTCTAAACAGTAAACTAGTGCCCAATGGGCTATATTTATAGTTTATTTCCTTAATTGCGGAGCTGCCATGTTAGATTTTTGTCTGCCAGTTCAACCTTTTGTATAGAACATATTTTTTAGCAGTATCTAATTTAGTTTTGATTAAAATTAAATGTCGAAAAGTGTAAATATAAGTTAACATTTTGTAGTTGTAATAAGTGTTTTAATAAATAATTTTTGTATATACACTGTTTTTATTCAAAAAGGTATCTGTTCAAAAACCTATATATTACTATTTTAAAATTTTAAAACAAAAACAATTTTAAAAGAAAAACAAAGACACCAGGTAGTCCAGAAGAAATGTGGAAAGCATTCAGAAATAGCAACGAAACCTCTGTAGAAATAATTAAAATAGAAAAGAAGATTGTCAAGAAAAAGCACTGTATGACAGATAGAACGCTGCAACTTCTTCAAACCAGAAGAAGACTAAAAGAAATAAAAGAGCCAAATTTCGAAAAATTTAAAAGGTAAGCAATCCGTTATGAATTCCATAAGCTTTACAATGAACTCGAATATATATCTATAGTCCAGGCTGTGAGGCCGCTCCCGTTGGGAAAATGTTTCTGATCTGGGCGAAATTTTTGGGCAGAAATTGTTTAAACAATTTTTTTAAACAAAGTCCAAAAATAAATTTTTGTAATCTGAAAAATGTTTTTTTGGGTTTTTTGGGCTATTTTAAATAAAAAAAGTCTCTTGTCATTTTTCTCTAAAGTTCATAGTTTTCGAGTTATAAGCGATTTAAAGTCTGAAAAACGCGGAAATACGCATTTTTGAGGCTTGAAAACACATATGTAAATTATTATTTTTGAGGTTACCAAGTATCTAAATTAAAGTTTAAACATTCAACTTCAAGATTGTGAAGAGTAATCGGGGCTTATTTTAATTTAGACCGTTGTCTAATCTCTATCGTACTTATGCATAGTTTACATATACTTACAAATAATTATTATTTATTGAGTATATATTTATTTATATCAATTGAGTTATAATATAAATTTCGTCTAAAGTCTAATAATAGTTACATAAAATAATTGTACAAAAGATTGTTAAATAACACACTAATATCACTCAGTAAAAGTATCTTTGTTTTCACAAAAATCTAAATCACATCCACATAATGTTGACTCATACACAGTTGACATAATTTTTCTTGCAGTTGCAAGCATTAGTTTTGCAAGTCCTTTTGCATTTGCACGGTTTCCCAACCCACCACTATCAGACATATAATATCCATATTGTGCAAAATCGAGAGTTTGATAGCGGGAATATATGGCATTTCGCCAAATATATGTTTTAGCGAAAGCTCTTAACAAGTGTTGGTAAAGTGCGTCAGAGGTACAAGGTATATTTGCTAGATTAAATTAAATTTTTCAGTCACACTGACTTTTCGTCGAAGAGCAGCATTTGTATTGTAATGTAAAAATCTACTTTAAGTTTTTGCACTAACTTAATATTGTTGATGTTATTACAAAAAATACAAACTAAATTTTTTTCGGTAAGTTTTCATTACGGAAAAAGACATTTTAAATCCATTCACAATTTTTTTAATAACACATTAATAATATAATACCCTTTTAATGGGCATTAAACAATAGTCTTCCTAATGATCGTTTAAGTAATAACAAATCAAGTATGAGAGCGCGATTGTTAAACAGGTAAAAACTTGCATTTTTGCGATAGTATATTGTTTTTAAACACCGCGCAATTTTAAATTTAATTTACAATTGATATAAATAAATATATACTCAATAAATAATAATTATATTGTTCAAATTTGGAAGAAAAAAAAACTATATACGGTTATTACATTGCGATGATTGGTTTATTTAATTAGCCCAATGACAATAATTAATACCTACATAAATAAATTATGGAAAAAACTATGTTCATAAACTTCAAGGATTTGTTCGGGTTTTTTGCGTAAGTGTATATGTAAACTATGCATAAGTACGATAGAAGCGCGCGCCGCGCCGCGGCGGCTGAAAAATCGAGTGTACGCGCATATTTAACAATTAAAAAACAACGGTCTAAATTAAAATAAGCCCCGATTACTCTTCACAATCTTGAAGTTGAATGTTTAAACTTCAATTTAGACACTTGGTAACCTCAAAATAATAATTTACATATTGTTTTCAAGCCTCAAAAATGAGTATTTTCGCGTTTTTCAGAATTTAAATCGCTTATAACTCGAAAACTATCAACTTTGGAGAAAAATAACAAGAGACATTTTTTGTTTAAAATGACTCCAAAAAAAACGTTTTCCAGATTAAAAAAAAAAATTTTTTGGAATTTGTTTAAAAAAAATTGTTTAAACAATTTCTGCCCAAAAATTTCGCACGGCACCCTTCAGATTTGTTTAAAGGGGACATTTTTGAACCGGAATCCGCGAAGAAACCGAATCAGAAACATTTTCCCAACGGGAGCGGCCTCACAGCCTGGACTACTAGAGAATTTAAATAATCATATATATTATACAATCTTGTTTTTCTCTAAGTACCGTGTCCGATTATTAATAACTTCAATATATATCTAGAGAATTTAAACAATCATTAACGAATGTCTCTTGATACCACGATACGTATGTCTCGGAGATTTCGGAGCCAGGATGTTCTTCGGCGTGGTCCCCTTCTTCCGGCTATTTTGCATTGTAATATGAGGTGTAAAAGGTCATACCTCTCTGAATGTCTCAAACCAAAGAAATAAAAAGAAGAATAAGTCTACCGTGGGCCTCATTCGAAAAACGGTTCTTTATATTAAATAACAAAAATTATTTGCAATAAATAAAGACAAAAGTAATTAATCAATTGTACATATTGTACGAATTATACGACAGCGGACGTGATATGTGATTCTTTACGTAGAGAGTGGGTGATATTGTTCTACCTTAGGACGAGAGAGAATTTTCAAACTACGTGAGATTTTACGATTTTTTTTTCTGGCTTTCTAGTTTCCAATTTCTTTTTTTATGATCCGGTATTAACATCTTTTAGTATTAATATATCGATGAAAAATACAGCTGTGTGGTTGGAATTGTACTTTATTACGCTAAAAGAAACTTTAATTTAGATTACTGATGCTGTTGAATCACAAATTAACCCCTTAATTTGTAATCTCACATTATTCTTAACTTCTTAATCTTTTATAGTTTCACCGTGTATAAGTGAGGCATTGTAAAACTATATTATATAATATTTTAATATTTAGTTCATTTACCTACAACTACATAAATTGCCGAATAATATATTTTCTAATTGAACTTCCTAAGTGTCGCAATTAA